CACTGCGAAGAAGGATTCGTTTGAACATCAACAGGCAGATTCAAAAGGATCGAAGTGCGAACATGACAAAGCAGTAGAAGGCTGCACATGAACTCCTATGTGGTAATTCGCCCATTCGATGTGGTAGGCTCAGAAGACAGCAGAAGGGAGAGTAGGCGTTCAAGCGAAAGGATCCGCTTGAACGCCTACACGGAGAACTAGAGAGGTCAAACCGCAGACATACCAGTGCTGTGAGAAAATCCGCTTGAACTCTTGCACAGAAGTATATATCGACAATAACAAGCTTAGAAGAGGGAAGGATGCAAACGAAGCTAGTTCTTGCGTAAGAGGCCGGCCTGGCATAATATTGCATTCTATCAGTCCTGTGCTTAATGCTAAGTTTTTCCTACACAGTCTGCTATTAACTAACAATTTCAATAAAAATATTTAAAATTTTATTTTGGGACCATCGACTTGATCCAAAAAAATTTATCAAACATACTTGGCAACCCCAGTGACCATCGCCTTTTTTATGCGTTTTTTGCAGCTATGCAATGCAGAAAATGCATATTGACGAGAGGTTGTCTGTGTGTGTGTCTGTGTGTGCCTGTGTGTCTGTGTGTTCGCCTGTACCGATTTTTCACCTCGAGACTGGCAAAAGCTACAGGGCTAAAATTTTCGGGACATAATCTACATGCACGTACGGGCCCCCATCCCCAAAATGGGCGGTCTTACCCACGTAAGAGCCCGCCAAAATTTTTTAAGGTAAGTTGATAGCTCGCGAACCAGGAAAGCTAGAAAGCTGAAATTTTAAGGGAATGTCCCCCGTCCAAGTAGGCACTAATGAGCTCAAACCCGACCCCCGGGTAAGCGTGGTACCTGCGTGTGGGGCCACCAAAACTTCTCCCGCGTAAATTCGTAACTCGGGGATTTGAAACGCTAGAAAGGTGAAATTTTAAGGGGATGTTCCCCGTTCAATTAGATACTAATGAGGTCAAACCCAACCTCCGGGTAAGCTTGGTACCCGCGTACGGGCCTGCCAAAATTTTTCTCGGGCAAGTTCATAGCTCGGGGATCTGAGATGCAAGAAGACTGTAACATTAAGAGGGTGTTTCTCGTCCACATTAGTCTTAACGAGATCAAACCCAGCTCACGGTTATGCGTGGTACCTACGCACGGGTTCACTAAAGTTTTTCTCGGGTAAGCTCAT